GGGGGGAGGCGGCGGTTCCCATTGCCCTCTACTGCCCTGTATTGCTGACTGTAAAGCAGCCAGTGAGTGCAGGGCTTTTTTCTTTTTTTAAGAGCTGGGATACTGAGGCCAGGTGGGGCAGCCATTGACAGGGTGGGGAATGGGACCTAGCAGGGGCCCCCCTATGGTCCCTTTCCCCACTCCTCCAAGCCCTCCCTATTCCTGCCCCCTACTTACCGTCACACAGCCTGGGTCCAGCTCCCTGCATCAACAAGCAGGGACTGCCTAAAATCGCCGAATCTTTCTCCAGAAAAATTTGGAGGCTTCGAATCAATTTGGACCTTTTTATTGGTCCTCCAATTCGATTCAGATGCAGAGATTTAGCCACCGAATCAGGCTGAATCGCCTCCAAATCAAATCAGCACCCGAAGCTTTGCACAGCCCTAATGGATAGAATGCCATGCCTTACATACTACTACGTCATTGTGATGGAAGCTAGAGTTGCCAGTCTCTCCCATTGTTGGATCACAGAATATAGTTGAAAAGAATAAATTACTTAGGAAAAAAGCAAAACAACTCATGGTGTAACAAGGGAGCAGTTGAAATAAGTCTGGACTGCAAGCCTATTATAGCCTCTGATGCAATACCACCTAGAATTAATTTGCACAGCCACATCTTCATGCCTGCTAACTGAACCAACTCTACCAAGCCCTCCACACACAAATCCATTCAGCTACTTTGTTAACACAAGTACTTTCCCTTTGTAGGGCACCTGTTACTATATGGCCCTTTGAATGGAGAATCAAAGTTTGGCTCATCCAAATCAGGCTCTCTGCTCTTCATTCTTTTTTGAACTGCTAAATGGCAGCCCTGTTCGCTGTATCTGCCCAAAGGCTTGCTTAGTTCAAGTTTTCTGTCACCTCAGTTCACAGAAATATTTTTTTCCATCTGTTGTAGATACACATGGAAAAACTGGGTATATTCGCTGTCCAGCTCTGAGCCTAATCTTCAAATTATTAAGCGTGTCTTTACATGTGCCCTGGGGGAAGGGGTGCTTTATTTAGAGCAGCTCTCTCTCAGGAGCCGCTCTAACGAAGCTTCTATGCACTTCAGTTAAAAGCGCCCCCACCACCAATTTTGAAGCACAGGGATGGTGAATACATGTGACACTGGATTGCTGTAGAGTGCCAATTAGCTTAATTGAGTCTGCTCTGATATGCTAATTAGCAGGGACTGGGCATGTGTATAGGTGCCCTAAATGTCTTGAAACTCATAAGAATGTAAGAGCTGCCATTCACTGCATCAGGCCATAAGTCCATCTTGCCCAGTGTCTTGCATCTCACAGTGGCAGAGAGTGGATGCTGAAAGGGAAAGTGAACAGGATATGACCAGGGTTTCTCCCTTCTTCTCCCACTTGCAACCTCCAGCATTAAATTTAAGGTCTAGGAAGTTATGGTGATTACAGGCATAGAAAAAAACCAATGCTTTTAACTTTCAAACTTAGCACACCCTCATGCCAAGTGCAGCACATGCCCAGAAGAAAGGCATCAGCTTGACCTGGCTCACTCAGCATCTGTACAGCACATGTGCTTCAGCAGGGCTGTTTGGCACTTTTATTCAACAGCTATTTGAATCAGCCATTAGATAAAAGTGCCAAAAAGTCCCCTTGAAGTGCACAGGCTACACAGACACTGAGTGAGCCAGGTCAGGCTCACGTGATTCCTCTCCCGGTAAAGGATTTCCCCACCTCTCCATGTCTGTCAGCACCCTGCGTGACAAAATTTGTTCCATTATTTGTAGCAAGACTCAAAGGCACTTGTCCTATTTTGTTGCAAACAACTTGAAAAGGGTACATTTTTGAAAATCTTGAGAAACTGTATTTAAGTTAATGAAACAAATGTGATTTATCTGCTATGTCGCAACGTTTTCCTTCCCATCCCCATCTTATTGACAGTAGGGCCATCAAAATAATAATCTACTTGTGAATTTTCTCCACAGCCTAAAAGCGTTATACGGTGTCATTTTTATAGACATTAAACCTTAAAAGTTCTGCTTGTGCGAACACACACACACACACACACACACACACAGAAGAGCCCTTATTTTGTGTGGTATTTATTTTTAGGACCCACAAACCTCCTTTTTTTCCTGAGAAAAAGATGCTGACTTAAATACCACTTGGTCTCTTCAGAGTGGGAACTAAGGAGGGAGAAGAACTTGCAAACCTCACAACAGGCAGATCAATATGAATAAACCAAGATATATTATGAAAAATACCCTCCATCCCATGGTCCCACTCTAGGCCTTTTCACAGTAAGTGCAGCAATACTGGCAGATTGTCACTGGTTGGCTTTTTCCCAGTTCCCATCAGCAGTGTCTGTGGGGTGGAAAAAGAAAAAAAAACCAGAGGACTTAAGTGAGGGAAACAGATGCCTTGTTACTCTGAATTGTACATGCTATCTCCCCCAAAAAGAGTGTGCTTCACAGGGCTACATCTTAGTTTTCACTCTGTGATGCCACTTGCAGAGGAAAACATTTTTGTAAGAGCAAACGGTAGTTTCCTGGGAGCAAGGGGACAGAGGAAAAGGAAGAGGAGCCTGGCACCAGATCCTGCTCTGGGCAGGTAAGTGAGCCATGGCTGCCTGCATGCATGGCTTGCAGAGTGTTTGTTCGATGGGTTGTTTTTGGGTCCATGCTCTGAGCAGCTGGGAGGGCCGCTAGCCTGTGTTGGATGAAAACCCTAACAAGGGGATGGATCCAGTCCAGGCCCAGGAGACTATAAAAAAGGAGACTCCTGAGGGACCAGAGGCAGCAAACAGGGCAGTCTGCAAGCAGCTGGCAAGTCAGTTTGCCTCCCCCTCTTTGAAACAGAGCCTTTAAGCTAAGTTTCTTTCTTTAACTAGCCGGCATCACTCTGCCCACGGGGGGGACCAGCAGGAATTGGGGGAGGCTCTGTTCCCCAGGGCACCACCCGGGGTTACTAGGAATAATGGCCACAGATTGTTAAAGAGTAGGTTCAGGCTGGACATCAGGAGACATTACACTTTACAGTTAGGGCTGCCAGGCTCTGGAATGGGCTCCCAAGTGAGGTGGTACTCTCTCCTACCTTGGGGCTGGACAGATATTTGGCTGGGGTGATATGACCCTGGCACCCGTTCCTGCCAGGGGTCGGACCTAATGATCTCTTTAGGTCCCTTCTGACCCTAAGTATTATGTAAGCAGCTAAAACCCAGCAGTTAGACCAATACTTTAAGCCCCTTGTTTAACTAGAGCCCAGAGCGAGGGGGAGTTTGCCCAGAAACTCTCTCTCACTTTCCTTTACAGTAAGCTTGGTGAGAGGAAGCAGGCTAGCAGGGAAAAGGGACTGTTTCAGGACCAAGGAGCAGCAAACAAGCCAGCTTACTGGGGAGTTTGCTAGGAAAGGTCTGCTTGGAAAGAGAGGCAAGAAAATAGAGGCAGATTAAGAGATCCAGAGAAATGGCTGGAGGATGCTGCAATGCCAGAGGCACCACCACTGCCAGCTCATCCTCTGCTTGTGCCTGTGAGGTCTGTGTCCAGGCAGGGCTGTTCACCACTGAGGCTTCCACCCAGGTCCTGGTTTGGTGTGGTGGAGACTGCAGCTTGCAGGGTCCTTCCAGTGACAGCCAGGTGGGGGAGTGCCTGCAATGCGAGTGGTGCCTGTTGGTGGTGTCCCTCAGGAAGCAGACAAGAGAGATACAGGAGGAGGTGACGAGACTCCAAAACATCCTCTGCCATGAGGACTTCATTGATTCGATGCTGGAGGAGACCTCTAGGACTGTGGAGGGAGGACTGTCAGAGGAACTGCTAGAGAAGGAAGAGGACGTGGATTGCCAGGAAGGCAGAAGCTTGTGACCTCTGGCAATAAGCAGAAATCTTCATCTTCACCACCACTAGGGCCCCTCAGCCAGTCAGAGGCATGGGAAAGGGCCTGCTGTGCTCTGCTCATGAAAATGGCTTCTATGCCCGTGAAATTGGCTGGCAG